ATGATCAAACGTATTTGGGTACTGTGACTGGCTACCCCGATGGGAGTGGTACACCAAGATGAGAAAACGTGAAGACCGGAAAGGCAGATCGTGAAACCAGCATATGATTGCTGTGGACAGAAGGTGGTCTACCGTAAGTGGGTCAATAAATGTAGATAATAGGTTAGGGCATACAAGTGTACCCGTGGGGTTGGCGCCAAGGCATGTGTGAAACCTTTGTGAGAAACCCGGTCTTAGAATCTACCATATGCCCAGCTGGGTGTAAATGCAGATAGTATACCAGGATGTCAATGTTGACCTAGTTAGGCGTATCTTGGGTGACAGACGGGCTGTATATGTGGACTAGGTGTGAGTTCTGGAGCAGATGAAGCGGATGTGTGATACCCTGTATGTAGTGAAAATAGCATACCCCAGTATTAAAGTCATAGCTCGCCCGCGCTTTGCCCGGAAATTAATGGTCAGCCCCGCTTGTCCTTCTTGCCGCCTCCCAGTCTAGTGCGTGGGATGAAGGAGTGGTAAGAGGGACTAAACAGTTAAATTTGTGACAGACCCAAGAAGCCTGGATATGTTAAAAGCATAGTGATAGGTACCAGGTTCTCCGGTGTGTGCCGAGAGATGGAAAAGACATGCGTGGGTCTAACGAGGTCATGAGTAATATTAGGAATGTAGTATGAAAGGTTGCAATCTTTATCACTCGTATATTAGAAATTAGACGTATGTAATTGCCCAAATGTGGGGCCGAAATTGACGTAAGTAACTGCCCAAATGAGGGGCCGGAATTGCCATAGTGCCCGTAGTGGGCCATGTGTAAACGTATGGAGTGAAGGCTTGGTGAGAGCCATGTGTAGAGGTATTGTAGTGGAAGGCAGAGTGCTTAATGTTAGCTCTAAGCTGCTGGGTGACAAAATAGGGCTGTATGAGGGGTATGGATGTATAGAACGAACAAAGAAAGGGTCAGAGACCCAGGCCTGACTGGTGTGCTGGGTATTTCGTCCAACAGTAGACAGATTATTGGGATGGGTTCTATGTGTCGAAGAGGTGGGGATGAGACCTCCGGAGAACTGGCCTGCTAGCTAGTGCCGAGGCAAAGAATTAACCTAGGACCAAGTGACAGGTGAGGCCCTGCTATTGCCAAGTGGCGGTGAGAGGCTCTACCTATAATTTGGGCCAAGGGGGTTTTGTGGCCACCAGAACGAGGTGGCAGGATGTTGGCCTCTCTGTGACAGTAAGAGATTCAAAACGTGTGACTTGGGAAGCCCAAAGAAGAGCGAACGAGGTGGCTAACTATGATTTGGTCGTGGGGCTAAACCTCCGTGTATGAGGTGGGGGGTGTAAACCTCGCAAACCGCAGTATTATTTGGGAAAGCTAGGGCCAGCGCCTAACCCTGAAAGACAGTTCTCTAACCTGAAAGCCAGTTCTCTAACCTGACGGGCTTGTCTCTAGAAAGGAAGTATGTCATGTATGTAGATACTGACCTCGAGTGTTTGTCCTGTATATTTAGACAATGCTCAGGGCGACTTAAATATATATATATATATACTGTGAAGAACAGGTCCAGTCCAGGAACCTAGGGGTAAAAGGATGCTAGCAGGCCTGAGGCGTGCCACTGGTATGCCAAGTGTAAAAATGTAGAACGTATGGAAAGGAGTGTAACAGCGAAACTGTAGCGTAAGAACCAGTGTAAGCTGAGGTACCTGAACCTTGGTCTAAATATTTTGAGACAAGAAATGTGCATTACTTATGAAAGATACGAAGGCAAAGTGAGGCCTTAGAAAGAACGTAATCGTAGTGAGTAAGATTAATGATACCTGATACTGAAACGTCGGGGACCAGGTAGCCTGTTGGTTTGTTGATGGCGTAGTGAATCTGCGACATGGTGCAGGTCTAAGTAATGATATGTAGAAATGAAAAACAAATTTAACACATTAATATAATAGTAACATGGAGGGTGAGGCATCTTGAAGTGTGTTTGAAGTTAGAACCCACTGTGAGAGGTGTGAGGAGATAGTAAAAAAGGCAGTGGAGGCTGAATGAGGCCTCAGGAGAAACGTAAAAATGTTAACCTTTTTCTACCTGATACCGTGAGACGGGATACTGGAACCACCTCCTGGAGTTTTCTTGAAGAAGAGTAGTAGAACCTAAAACACGTTCATTATTTAAAAATAAGGAACCAGAGTATAGTGTTTTTAATATAAATAGAGATTTTAGAAATAAGAGCTAATGAACAAATTGAGCGCGGAGCTGGATAAATTTAAGCGGTTTGATTGGCTTGACCTATTGACATCAAAAAAGCGTAAGGGGGCCAACTGTGTCTTTAAGAGAATGCCCCTGGGAATTTATGCATAATTAAACGTGACTATGGGTGATGAATAGTGACACTCTGATTTAAGTAAAACGTAGGGAGAACTATGTACATATGTTTTATAAAAGGAACAAATTTCAGGAACATACTTAAAATTATACAAATAACTGCATAAAACCTCATGCGTACGGTTAATGAAAGTGCAAGAGGGATATAACAGGACGGCATGTGATAAATTAGGAAAAACTAAAAGCTAGTAAAACAGCCATTCCTACGTGTTTCGGCTAATGTATGTAAGAAACAGGCGAAAAGGGGGGTGAGTTTAAGAGGTCAGTATTTAATACTAACGAAAGAAAAACTAACGTGTGTGTACTCTGCGGTCGGCTAATAGCCGCACGAACGCAGAAGTTCACGAACAGCAGAATTATACGAACGGGTAAGTAATATAGGGAGCCTATCCCCGCGTTTCTAGGCCTGAATGTGGGAAATAGCAGCAGAACGCTATTTCCCACGTTGATGCTTACGTGTGCGTGCCGGTCCCTTGACCGGAAGCAAGAACGCCGGGTAACGAGTAAGGAATACAGCGGGGCAGCCCGTGGATGAGCACAGATGGCGGCGGCAGGAGGTGCTGAAGACAGAGTGTTTGTTCGAGGCAGGACTGGCGGGAACAACGACCGGAAGTGCAGGTAACTATGGAGACAAACAGCTTGCACGACAAAGGTAAGTAGGGGGGGGTAGGGTTTATGTAGGATATAGGATCATAACTCATATGTATTAATATTAAAATACATGTAGATTGACGTTTATATATATATATATAATTATACATATACAGTATATAAAATAAATGAAAAAATAAATACATTTAAAAAAATTATATATCAGTTTTAATTTTTCTAACTGTATTTTGATATTAATATACATATATTAAATTCAAAATATATTTAGAATAGCTATATATAAATAAAAATATATTTTTATACATATATATTTAAATTTTACAAATATATTTATATAATATTTTTACATAATCAAGTAATTTTATTAATTACAATTTGAGGGACCTGCCAGACAACCCAGGTTGAAAGTCCAGAGAATTTGTCTCGCAAGCCCTATATTTAATCCTGTAACTTTCTAGGACACCATAAAGCCTGTACATGGGTTTTACTGTTTTACCCGGGAGACTTCGCTGAACACAAATATTAGTGTTTTAAAACAGTAAAACATATCACAACGATGATATCATCTGTAAAAATGCAGTTATTTGCATTTTTCACACACAAACGGTACTTCCACTGACAATATAATTTTTGTGATACATTTTACTATTTTGAAACACTAATATTTATGTTCAGCAAAGTCTCCCGAGTATAACAGTACCCCCCATGTACAGGTTTTATGGTGTTTTCAAAAGTTACTGAATCAAATATAAGGCTTGAGTTTCCTTTTTTTCATATTGAAATTTGCCCGATTGGTTATTTTGCTTTTGAGACCATATGGTAACCCAGGAATGAGAATTACCCCCATGATGGGGTATGACCAGCCTTTTTTAGTAGCCACTTAGTCACAAACACTGGCCAAAATTAGCGTTCAATTTAGTTTTTTGCATTTTTCAAACAATTATGAACGCTAAATTTGGCCAGTATTTGTAACTAAGTGGCTACTAGAAAAGACTGGACATACCCTATTTGTAATACCTTGGGTTGTCTAACTTTGCAAATGGTATGCCATCCTGGGGGTAATTTTTCAATGTGTAAAAAACTGAAAAATGTAATGTGCTATATTTGACCCTGTAACTTTCCAAAACGCAATAAAACCTGTACATTGGGAGTGCTGTTTTACCCGTGAGACATCACTGAATACAAATGTGTACTTTATTGCAGTAACAGCTAACAGTATTGTGACATTCCCAGTTAATGCAGAACTAAAAAAATAACATTTATTATTTTCTTCATATTAAATTATGCTTAATACACAAATATTTGATGTGACATAAAATCCCTGTTTCTCCTGAACAAAATGATAAGTGTGGGTACACATAATATGAAAGTGAATTACGCCTGAACAGACATATTCAAATTCAAGGTTTTGTTTACGTTTTGATTTGATCAGAACTTGTACAATTGGCTCAGTCCTTAAGGGATTAATAATGATAACGTGCCAGATTTGGGGACATATGAAACAAACACACATAATTTGCATATAAAAAGGGAACAGAGCATTGTGTAAATATTTTGCAATGCAGCTCTTTTAAACAGCATAAGGAAGTATGTATTGGGTTCAAGGAAGAGTCTCAGCAGGCTTCATCAGGAACTTCCACTGCAGAACCAAGCAGAAGTGGATTGAAGCAAGTAGCAGTCATGTGGACAGTCCTTTCAGCATTTTGCCTGATTGTATTCTGCAAGGCTGAGAATGCTTGTCCAGGTAACAAAAATATATGTATAATTACTTATTTTGTTAATTTTTTTTTAATTTTACATTTGTCTTTAAATTAATGAAAACAATGTCATGCACCAAATTAGGGAAAACTAAATGCAGAAGCATTAAATACAGTGTAGGTGTGTAGCATTAAGACCACATCAGAACTGTTTCTAGGATTTTTAATGTTGACCTATCCCTAAATTTAACAAATATGTATTTGTTGGTGTGAGTAATAAAATTAAAAGTGAAAAGCCTCACCTCTTTGTTCTGCTACTGGCTGCCCCATTTTACCCCACATGTTAATCACCCTTAGTACCTGTGTCTCTGGCACCTGGTAGTTAGTATAGAAAAGGATACAGAGAAGATGAGAATTGAAACGTTTTCTCTCTTCTTCATATGCAATGTTTACCCTGGCTTTGCCTTATCTGAACTGGATTATGATGTAATTAGCTAAATCTTTATGATAAATATAAAGGAACCTGGAGCGTCACATGGGCATAGTAAAACAATAGCAAACTCATAAGAAAAGAAAACACAAAAGAGGAGAAAAAGCACGAGTCAACTCACTTAAAAATACCCCAAATTTTGGAACAATGTACATATTTAAGAGTTCAATGGCAACGCATGTATAAAATCAATGCATGATCAATAATATGTATTAAAGATCAATGACTTACCTGCAGTATCTTTAAACATAAGAATGATCCCAGTTACTGAGACTAGCTAAATTCTATGTGAAAATCTAAGACTAAAGTAAATGCTAACTGGGAAGACACAATGGGTTTATGTATAAAATAAATAAATAAATGTTTCCATGAGAAAATTATCATTACAATTTAAAAAAATTAGTAGAAGCATACATGTATGAAGTGAAAAAAATTAAGTGGGTACCAGAGACCTAGCGGTAGAGTAGATCTAATTCTTTTTTAGGAATCTTGGTGGAAATGAAGTTTAAAAGTAGACATGAAAATGAGTCATTCATTCTTTTTGCGCTACAATTCCCTGCCATTTCATATCTGGCATTATATGTACTGTGAGGGGCAAAAAAATGTTTGCCCAACTATTCATTAGTGCAATTGGTGCAATTGTTTGGTTTCAGATTTTACAAATTGTTAAAAACTCAATAGTTCGGTTTTGCCAAAATCCACTTGAGAAGACCAATTCGGATGCCTGAACACTTCAACTTGCTAGCCAACCGCCACATTAGAATTGAAAATAAATATGTCCCCTATATTGATATAAGGAAGTAAAAACATGGTAGATGGATCATGCAGTGGTGTATTTACCACAAGACTAACAAAGCATTTGCCTTGGGCAGCACTTTCCAGGTGAAGGTATTTTTTGCTTGTATGAAGAGAACTGGCCTGATTGCTACCTTTAAAATATTCTAGCTGGTCAGCGAGGGAGCACAAGGCTCAGAGCAAGGGAGCAGAGCAAGAGGATTACAGCTCCCTCGCTGCCTCCAGCAGGCCCCACAGCCCAGCAGCCACACTGAACCCCTGGGAAAGAATCCACTACAGCTCTCCTAAAGAGGCTTGGCGGGCTTCAATTAAAATAAATAAATAAATGTGAGTGTATGAGGAAATTTATCTATGTCTGTATTTATGTTATGTAGAAACCACCCGGCCCTGGTGCGAATATTGTCCTGGATCCCTCCATTTGTCTCACCCCCCAGCTTCTCCAGGTCACATTCCCTTAACCCTGGCCCTCCATGCAGGGACGTGTCTTCCACGATGCAAACAAGGCATCTGCCTTGGGCAGCACTTTGCAGGGGGCAGCAAAAAAGCCGCCCCCCCCAAACGCCCAGGCAGATCCCTTACTTGCCTTACATCCTGGGGGGCTGATTAGCCGGCTGGCTGGCCACTTTTGAGGCCACGGGCAGCAGAGGAGCGAGGGAGAACACTTACCTGAGCACTTCCTGCTCAGCTCTCTCCGCGCTGCTTAATGAAGCTGGCAGCCGGAATATGACGTCAGACCGGATCCCGGCATCACTAAGAGATGCCTACTCAGCCTGTGCGCCCCCTGCCTGCCCGACCAGCAGCCACACTGGACTGCAGGTAAGCAATCCACTCCAGCTCTCCCATGGAGGCTGGGTGGATTTAAAATAAAATAAAAATAATTATAAGTGAGTATTGGGAGAAATGTGTCTGTATGTGAATGTGTGTCTAAGTGAATGTGTGTGTCTGTAAGTGAATGAGTGTGTCTGTAAGTGTGTATGTGTGTGGGTCAGTGAGTGTGTATGTATTGGTCAGTGAGTGTGTGCGTCTGTCAGTGAGTGAGCGTCTGTCAAAGTGCGGCCTTGACAGGAAAGGGTGGGGAAAATTTAAATTGGGGGGGGTTGCCCGAGCACCATCCTGCCTAGGGCAGCTCAAATCCTAAATACACCACTGCCTCCATCTGTATCAATTCCCCCAGGCACCCACCTATCTCATTCCCTCCCCACAAGCCTCTTGATGTCTCATTCCCCTCCAATGCTCCCATATATTTCATTCCCTCCACCCAGCCCGTCCATGTGTCCCAGTTCCCCTCTAGGCCCCTCCATGTGTTTCATTTCTACCCCCTATGCCACTCCCATGTGTCGCATTCACTCCCAAGTCCCTCTATGTGTCTCTTTCCCCCCCTGCAGGCCCCCATGAATCTCACCCCCTCCTCCTCCCAGCCCCTCCATATGTCCCATTCCCTCCTGTGGCGAAAACCACTTTGCCACTGGGGTTAGGAAAGGACTACTTGCCAGCCTTTTACCCTGTGACTATGGCCCCTTTAATTTATTGTGGTTAAAACCCTATTTGTGCCTATTGGGACTTTGAACAATGGTTGTTTGAACTCCCGAACAGTAGAAGTGGCCGCTATTCGAACACGTGGTGGCGGCAGCAATCTTGTTTAGTCGAACGTGTTCAACAGTGTTTTGGCATCGAGTTCATGGAACTCAAAATCAGATATGCGACGGCACAACACCGCTGAACAGTTATCTTCCAAGGAGAGCAAAAAAAACAGGGCGCAAGAGTATACTGAGGAACTGTGGCTATTCGAACGGGAGTCGAACGGCGTTTGGTGAATCGAAGTCCACGAACAAGGGTCATATACTGACTGCACTCACGAACGGCAACGTTCGGTAATACGAATGGTACTTCGACTGTTTGAAATAGACCGACCACACAAACTAATTCTCTGGAACCGTTTTGGGCGCTTCATGCGGTCGGTCAAAAAGAGACTTCCAAAAATTTCCTGAACTCCTGCTCTAATCTGGGTGATTTTTGGATATGTTGTTCAACAAGATCAGGTCTATCAGGGGATGTGACTGGGGTTATGTTGTGTTTTGGGGTACCTATGATACTTATGATACTTTATAAAAATGTGTGTTTTTATGCCTGAGGATAATTAAGTTAATGCATTATCTGCCTTAATTATCTCCCAGGCAGAGGGGAGGGCTTGCCAAGATCACTGACCCAACAGAAGAGGGAGGCAATTTATCTGCAGCCTGAGACCAAGCATTCAGAAGTGCAGCCACAGAAGCCCCGATACTCCCCTCCCCAACCCCTCTGGAAATGAGGCAATTATCTCGGTCCCCATTGGACACGCTGACAATCTGAATGACACGGTGCCTAAGACCGTGTGGCGAGTCAAATATGGCCCTTACCGAGACCCTTACAACAAGTAAGCCTGGAAAGCCTAGACTGGAGGCAGCGATTCGAGGCCAGATTAGACAGGGTATGCAGAGAGTTCTGGACTCACATAGCTGTCCGCTTCCACACCCCTGCCTCACCTGTTGGAGCCAGCCATGGAACACAGGGGCCTGTCCTTGCAGCACCGCACTATACTTATTTGGCCTTTTTTGTGCCTAAAAAATTATGATTTTTAGGAAAAAAAAGACATCAAATGTTAAGTTTTATTTTCTTTACATGTAGTTAGTTATTTTATTCCCCCCTCACTATTTTTAGGGTGAGGAGGGTAGGTAGGGGATTCGTTTTTTTTTATTTGGGTGGGGTAGGTGGGGGGGATTTTTATTTAGGGCCCCCACCTGCCGCTCAGGGGTGGGGGAGGACAATAGGTGCCCCCTTATTGTTATTCAGGGCCCCCACCCGCTGTGCACGGGTGGGGGCGGGGGGAGGACAATAGGTCCCCCCTATTGTTATTTAGGGCCCCCAACCGCCACGCAGGGGTGGGGGTCGAGGGGAGGACAATAGGTCCATCCCCCTTATTGTTATTTAGGGCCCCCACCCACCACGCAGGGGTGGGGGCCAGGGGGGTACTAGGTTTTTTTAAACAGTGAGTAGCCATTGGCTGCTCAATGTTTACTACATGCCCCTACTCGCAATATAGCAAGTAGGGGCAGCATTTACTAATACTAAGGTCTTTCAGCCTTTTATAGATAGCTCCCTAATACCATAATTAGGGAGCTATCTACTAAGCGGCTGTAAGATGCAGCCGCTGCAGGAATAGGATTGAAGTTTCATTCATTAGAATGAAATTCCGATCCGAATAAAGTCCCAATTGCATCCTAACATGAATGGAATAACTTCTCATTCTGGTAGGACGCAATTCAGCAGTCTTGTCGTATGCTCTGTCCAAATGACAGGACGCTCTGCAATACTGACAGGAAGCATCGCCAGAACAGGGAGGGAAAGCTAAGAATTGTGGGAAAATGTCTCTGACCACCGGAAATGAAACACACTTTGCTCCTCCGCTGGTCAGAGATGGTCAGGGTGTTGGAAACCTCCATAAGACAAATAGTCCCTACTTTGTCTTATGTTTTAAAGAAAACTAGAGCAGATAGGAAGAAATGAAAAACATATTCCGAGAGAGGGAGAGAAGCGGAATTGAAAAGAAAGGTAAGTTCGCATGACAGTGCTGCTTTAATACAGTATCTAGATAGCTTTTCTTACTTTCACAGTTGATGCCATGATCTGGATAGATTTCATAAGCATTATTTATAATCCCATATTATGCCTTTTTTTTTTTTTTAATGTGTATGTTAACCTCCCTTATTGCATGTAAGCTATATATCCTGACTCTCTTGTCATTTGCTATTGGGGCATGACAAGCTGTACGTACTTATCTGGACTACAAAAATAAAGATTTTTTTTAAAAAAAGTATATACCATGATATTTTAAACGTCTTCATTAATGTTTATCCTACCATTTTTATTTGATTGCTTTCATTTATTTTTCACAGAAGTAACGGTTTCAGGACTTGGAGATGTTGACAAAATGACTATCCTTCGAGGCTGTGTTAACATTAACGGAAATCCAGGGCAGAAAGGGGAAACAGGTCCCCCTGGGGAGAAAGGTAAAAATTAGCTGGTATTGGGGTAGATGGCAATCACAGGCCTTGAATATATATATTCAAGGCTATATAGCCTCTCCACTCCATGTAGTTTGTTGCATTGTAAAGGTAACCTCAAAGCTGTGACACACAGCTGCACTCAAACTCCCACTACTCTTGGGCAGCAGCCATGTTAACAAAAACAAAACAAATTACCTGAGCCCTATCCCACATTATTATGCACATTTAACCAATATAGGCTATCCCTGACTATTCTGACTTCTGGCATGCCTGACCTGGCTTTGTTCCTCGAATACCTAATCTCTCTGACTTGACCTTGGCTAGTCTTTAACTTCCTCTCTACTATGCTGTATACGCTCGTTAAACCTGGGCATTCTAAGGACCGGTATACATGCTTGATTTTTTTTCTGCTTGTTGGGTTATGTTATATAAATAGATATAGATAGATATAAAGATATAGATATCTGTCTCTATATATATATCTTAAAAATGATTAATTTATTTTTAGGTGAAGTTGGATCTAGAGGATTACCTGGGAAAGCTGGTCCACCTGGACAGAAAGGTTGGTTGGTTCTAACTTCACATTCTCATTAGTAAAATATTCAGAATTTTTTTTTCTAGTTGTTTCCAAAATTAATCTGCCATTTTATATATATTTTCAGCAATTCAAGTTCACTTTCCATTACATGTGTTAACAAAATGTGTGTTCATTTCCCAGCATGCACATCTGAACCTTTATATATACCTTACACTTGTTGCAAAGAGATAAACACTATATAGGAGAGGGGCAGAAAATGTTTTGAACAATAAAAGTAAAATTTTATCCTTGCAAATATTTCCACAAACGTAGAAAAAATATATATCCGAAACCACCCACTAAAATAAAAAAAAACTTATATTTACTATTAAGTGTTTATTATTTTAAAATTTAATATTTAGAAAACACAGTAATCTAAAAATAATGTAGAACATTGTTTGTCAATGGGCTAAAATATACAATAATGTGCCTTTTTATTTACAATAACCGTAACATATTTGCTATTTTTCATTTAGAACTGTTAATTGTCCAGTTGATTCTGGATAGTACACTACAATGCAAAGGTTTTAAGCATGCATTAAAAAGTGCTGTAACAAAACTTTTTTTTTTTTTAAAGTATTCTCATCAATTAAAATGTAAATTGTAGTTAACAGAATAAACATTACTTTGTACACTATTTATTTTATTTAAATTCTTCTTCATTTTGCATTTTGTTAATTGAGAAAAAGAAAATACACTATTTATAAACATTTCTGTTTTTTTAAAGCATTGTTACCAGACTAAAATACACGCAGTAGTGTGTATGCCCCTTATGTTTTAGGTATGCTTCAAGACTATTACAGAACTATCTGTCACAGGTAAATCACTGGGTGAATAATAATGAGGGAAATGTCAAATGTCTATTTTATGTGTAACTTAAGATCCCTAGGATTCCCTAAAAGCAACATCTTTCAAAAATATATGTTTTAGTTTGGACCCAGCAGGAATAAATGATAAAAGACTTTTGATAATGGGTTCTAAGCAAATACTTGGAAACTCCTGCTGTGCCAATAACAATAGCTATAGCAAGCTTATCTTAGTGAGAGTAACAAATATCACATTATTTAATATACGCAGTGAACCTCAAAAACTGACTTACATATTTTCCCGCCAGGAGAGAAAGGAGATGCAAACACACAGAATCAGTTATACGGTGAGTGAGAATCTTTATTTTATTGAATATATAAGACAAGTTAACACTTTAAAAGCCTAACCTATATTATGTCCTTGACTCAGCCCCTCGGAACTGTAAGGAACTGTTGGATCAAGGAACCATTCTGAGTGGCTGGTATAACATCTATCCTGATGGCATACAGCCACTTACAGTACTGTGTGACATGGACACTGATGGAGGTGGATGGATTGTGAGTACCTGTAAAGTAAAAGTTCATCTAAATATGTATTAAGACTTTTGTGTATACTGTTAATATGATTAGGAGAGGTATTACAATGTATTGCAGTGTGTTTCCAATCTGATGTTCGCTTTAGTGAGTTTTTATCTTCTGCTCTCTACATTGAACTTTAATCACATATAGGCGGCTCCTGCAAGATCTGGCAACCTATTCACAGTGCAGGAGATTAGAAACTCCAAATTAAACATAATTTGCAATAAAGAAAGAGTAAATATTAGATCTCACATTACAGGAAGAGTTTAGGAAGGTAGGCTGCGCACTTATCTGCAGGGAGGTGTTACTAAATTTAAATAAAAAAAGATGTGTATGTAAATGATGAGTCACTCACATCTTCCACCTAGAGAAGAACAATTGTTTCCCAACATCATGTTCATAGCACGAGTGACTGTCCTTCAGTGTGTGGAGAAATAAAACAGTGCCCTATCAGCTTCTAGCAACTGTATGTGCAGAGGTAGAAGCAGGGCCGCCATCAGAAATTTTGGGGCCCCTGACAAAGCACAAGGTCTGGGCCCCCCCTCACTCCCGGGCCCGCCCACGCCCTACCTGGTCCGCTGACAATGATGCAGGACTGAATGTGGTGTGTATAGTGGAAGTGAATTAGAATATGCGTAATGGATGTAGTGTTTGTGTGTATTAGATACTGTTTGTACAGTGAATGCAGAGTGTGTGTTTGTGTAGCGGATGCAGTGTGTATAGTGAACGCAGAGTGTGTTTGAGTAGTGGATATACTGTGTACAGTGATGTAGTGTGTGTTTGTGTAGTGGATGTAGTGTTTGTATGTACTAGATGAAATGTGTTTAGTGGGTGCAGTGTCTGTAGTGGATGTAGTGCGTGTATTAGACGCAGTGTCTGTGTATAGTGAATGCAGAGTGTTTCAATGTGTGGTGGATGCAGTGTGTGTACTGTGAATACAGGATGTTTGTGTAGTGGATGCTGTGTGTACAGTTAATGCAGAGTGTGTGTCAGTATAGTGAATCCAGAGTGTATGCATAGTTTAGTGAATGCAGAGTGTGTGTTAGTGTGTAGTGAATGCAGAGTGTGTGTTAGTGTGTAGTGAATGCAGAGTGTGTCAGTGTAATGAATGTAGTGTGTGTGTTAGTGCAGAGTGTGCGTAAATTTGTAGTGAATGCAGAGTGTGTGTTAGTGTAGTGAATGCAGAATGTGTTAATGTGTAGTGAATGCAGAGAGTTAGTGTGTAGCGGATGCAGAGTGTGTGTTAGTGTAGTGAATGCAGAGAGTGTGTTAATGTGTAGTGAATGCAGAGAGTGTGTTAGTGTGTTGCGGATGCAGAGTGTGTGTTAGTGTAGTGAATGCAGAGAGTGTGTTAGTGTGTAGCAGATGCAGAGTGTGTGAGTTAGTGTAGTGAATGCAGAGAGTGTGTTAGTGTGTAGCGGATGCAGAGTATGTGTTAGTGTAGTAAATGCAGAGTGTGTGTTAGTGTAGTGAATGCAGAGAGTGTGTTAGTGTGTGGCGGATGCAGAGTGTGTGTTAGTGTAGCGGATGCAGAGTGTGTGTTAGTGTAGCGGATGCAGAGTGTGTCTTAGTGTAGTGAATGCAGAGTGTGTTAATGTGTAGCGAAACAGAGTGTGTGTCAGTATAGTGGATGCAGTGTGTGTGTTGTATTAGTGTATGCAGTGTGTGTTGTGTTGTGTTAGTGTATGCAGTGTGGGTTGTATTAGTGTATGCAGTGTGTGTTGTGTTAGTGTATGCAGTGTGTGTTGTGTTAGTGTATGCAGTGTGTGTTGTGTTGTGTTAGTGTATGCAGTGTGTGTTGTGTTAGTGTATGCAGTGTGTGTTGTGTTGTGTTAGTGTATGCAGTGTGTGTTGTATTAGTGTATGCAGTGTGTGTTGTGTTGTGTTAGTGTATGCAGTGTGTGTTGTATTAGTGTATGCAGTGTGTGTTGTGTTAGTGTATGCAGTGTGTGTTGTATTAGTGTATGCAGTGTGTGTTGTGTTGTGTTAGTGTATGCAGTGTGTGTTGTGTTGTGTTAGTGTATGCAGTGTGTGTTGTATTAGTGTATGCAGTGTGTGTTGTATTAGTGTATGCAGTGTGTGTTGTGTTGTGTTAGTGTATGCAGTGTGTGTTGTATTAGTGTATGCAGTGTGTGTTGTGTTAGTGTATGCAGTGTGTGTTGTATAAGTGTATGCAGTGTGTGTTGTGTTGTGTTGTGTTAGTGTATGCAGTGTGTGTTGTATTAGTGTATGCAGTGTGTGTTGTGTTGTGTTAGTGTATGCAGTGTGTGTTGTATTAGTGTATGCAGTGTGTGTTGTGTTGTGTTAGTGTATGCAGTGTGTGTTGTGTTAGTGTATGCAGTGTGTGTTGTGTTGTGTTAGTGTATGCAGTGTGTGTTGTGTTAGTGTATGCAGTGTGTGTTGTGTTAGTGTATGCAGTATGTGTTGTGTTGTGTTAGTGTATGCAGTGTGTGCTGTGTTAGTGTATGCAGTGTGTGTTGTATTAGTGTATGCAGTGTGTGTTGTGTTGTGTTAGTGTATGCAGTGTGTGTTGTGTTAGTGTATGCAGTGTGTTGTGTTAGTGTATGCAGTGTGTGTTGTGTTGTGTTAGTGTATGCAGTGTGTGTTGTATTAGTGTATGCAGTGTGTGTTGTGTTGTGTTAGTGTATGCAGTGTGTGTGTGTTGTGCTAGTGTATGCAGTGTGTGTGTGTTGTGTTAGTGTATGCAGTGTGTGTGTGTTGTGTTAGTGTATGCAGTGTGTATATGTGCAATCTGGGGGGGAGGGGGAGGAAGGGGCATTTTAACATAAATTTTTAATTAATTTAATTAAATGTTTCTCCCCCCTCCCTGCTTACCTGTATCCAGGGAGGGGGGAGATTCCATCTGTGGTGGCCCGGTGGCATGGGGCCCCCCGGCTCCCTGTTACCGTCCGCAGAGGGGGAGGGGGCCCAGGCAGCACACAGCTTCTCCTCCTGTCTTCTCCTCTTTAATAACTCTTGCGAGACCCGCGGAGCGTTGCCATGGTAACCGGGTCTCGCGAGAGTTATGAGAAGAGAGAGGAGAGGAGGAGAAGCTGTGTGCTGCCTGGGCCCCCTCTGCGGACGGTAACAGGGAGCCGGGGGCCCGCGGCTGCCCACATAGATAGAGATATTCGCTATCTATGTGTGCAGAAAGGGAAAGTGGGGCCCAGGACTGCCAGAGCAGTCCGGGCCCCCCAGGGCCGCCGGGCCCGTGACAACTGTCACGGTTGTCACCCCCTGATGGCGGCCCTGGGTAGAAGGCAGGTGGTGCAAAAACACTACATTGGAAGGCACTTTAAAGCATTACAACCATCAGCACATTTTAGAATACTTTTGTTCTACAAAGAGTTAAATGGAAAAATAAAGCTACATTTACATTGTTATTTACTAAAGTGAGAATTCACAGTGAATTCCAATTGAACCTCAAATTTAAGGTAAAAGTTGCCGAACTAAAAGCATAGCTGTCTCTCTCTGGACTTTTTCTAGTTTGGCTACTCTGACCTTAAGTTTGGAATTCCCTTTTAATTTTCAGTTGTATATTACTGAAGGAATAAGTGTGCCATTTGGAAAGGAAAGCAGTAGCAATAAAGCACACAGCCCATCAAATATTCTATTTCTCTCACAAAATCCTCACACAAATATGTAAGACAAGTTTAAATCAGTGGATCAACGTTGGTATCAGTGGTCCTGGCAGAAGCTAGGCAAGAGGACCCTTTTTGTCCTTCATTCACAAGATAATGAGTAGTCAGATTGTCCCTGTCCAACCTACCTACCTAATCTGAACTGCTGGCAATAATCTCACCATCCTCTCTGTCCTAGGGTAGTAGTAGCAGCTGCAGGCGGGTGGTGAGAACTGCATAGACTAAGATACTGGCACCAGCGGATCTCATGCCTACCCTAGTTTTTTATTTGTGTGCTTCTTCCCTCAGTAAGACAGACTTGTAGTGTCTTTTCAGATTTAGATTCATACAAGCACAAGTGAGATTACCCCCACTCTCCCCGTACTTGCTTCCTTGCCGAGCAATTTGCAATGTGCAAACCACCCTTGTAAACGCAAAGTGATCAAAAAGTAATTGAATGAACCTATGACAATTAAGGATTAAACAAAAGAAATACTACGATTACAACCCTTACTTGGGATACCCTCTTGACAATGGTAGAAAATAGGCGGACAGTATCAAATCCCAAGTATTAACTTTCATATTAAACTACAACTTTTTTTTTGTCTGGCATAGCATCATAGATGATGTAATTTAATTACAGATTGTATTAAAGACACAGAGGTCTTCTATTATGCGCACTGCGGAGATATTTCCACAGGCGACAATTGGTCCAATTTAGAACCAACGCTCCACATAACTGCTTGGAACTCCTGGCCAGCTACTTGGCTAAAAGTATTTGCCAGATGGCAAAGACTCAATGATTGGAGGGTAATACCATGTCTTAGAAATGTTTATCAAAGATCGGAGTCATTGTTCTTTTTCTCCTTCAGGTGTTCCAAAGACGATGGGATGGAACTGTGGATTTTTTCAGAGGATGGGAATCCTATAAGAAAGGTTTCGGAAGTCAGTTGACTGAATTTTGGTTGGGAAATGATATTCTTCATAGATTGACTTCAACAGGTGGGTTTTAAGTTAGAATATTACATCTAACTTTTATTCATCCCAAATGAAAACTATTTAAACCACTATAAAGGACCATCACCTTGACAAATTAATCTGGTGCTGTCCTCTGTACTCTGTAACAAATTGTGTTCTTTATAGTTCAATGAAATCAGACAGGATTAATGCTTTATGGACTGTGTATATATAACATTTAGCTGACTTAAGCTTAATGCCCCCATGTGTGATATCCTAAAGCAATACTACTCTAGAATTGTATATATGGCCAGTTTTTCTAAATATGATAAGATTATCACATGACAAAGCGTTCTAAAATTAGTTAAAGTTGCATTTTCATATATGAACATAGCATACAAGACCATTTATGCCAAAAATGCTACTCTTTTTAAGTGGTGATGGTCTGACAATTTGTGCCACAAACTTATTCATAAAACCAAAATTAAAATATGGGTTTGATAGGCTTGAAAGAGGCAGGCATAGGAGATTTGTTAATTAAGTCCTTATAATAGAATTTCTGCTTCATATGTGATATACTGTATTATTTTTCAAGGGACACTCCATCCTGCTAGTTTATGATGCACTTCACAGATAAGTGGCCCGCTACTTTTAGGCCCAACCTGTTTCCGCTTTACATACCTCCCTATGTTGGAAGGTATGAGATATCCCCACTTGCCTCTTTTATCTTTTCTATGCTTACCTAAAATCACTCTTCCCAGGATATGAAGTTGCTGACGAATTCCATTTAATCTCAGCCATCCCATTATTTTCAATTTCAGCTTTAAAATAAACCTACAAAACCATTTTAAATAAATGTGCATAAGTATATAGATTGTATATAGATATATGGCTAGAACACAAATAATGTGAACAGTGAATGCAATACAACTCACTACAATCCTTTTCAGTTACATTGTATCAGATTAAGTTTGCTCATCTCACTCATGTTTTAATGGATGGATTAATTTAGGTGTTAATGAATATCTCCTTATTCCTTAGGATCCTTTGTGCTCCGAGTTGATCTCACCGATTTTGACAACAAGCATAGTTATGCCACTTATGAGTCATTCTCAATCTCAGGAGAGCTTGAGAAGTACAAACTGAGTGTTGGTAGTTATTCTGGAGGTACTGCAGGTAAATGTATATATATTATGCGGGTTTTACTTTATGCGTATGACAAATTAAATTTGCAAACATTCCATATACATAAACATATATATAAATACATACACGAGAATGATTAATTAAATGATAACAAGAACAGGTACAATCCCAGTGAGATACTCCCCCAGTATCAGAACACAGTTTATTAACACTACACAAGAGAATATCAAATCCAATATCCTTTATTAAATACAAACATGCCAATCACAAATAAACAATGTGAATGAGGCCAAATAATACTAATAGCACAAACAAATCTAACAAAACCTACCAGAGTAAGACACAAAACACAATGTGAAAGAAATTCAACACACCACCCACCCAAAACAACAAAAAGTTTTACTTTTTCGATAAAGGATTGCATGCCTGGCCATTAGAATATTGGATGTTTGCAGTTACAGTCTTACCATTTGAAGATTAATAGCTCTTTACTCCATGGTGGTCAAGGAAGTAGTGAGTTTCCTACCCTTTATATTATGGCTTTACTGTAAGAGGATAGGACGAAATGCACTCTGAGTTATTCCAATGGGAATGTCAAGATAGGCTGAGAGGCCTATCCCATGTATGTACATAGTGGGGAATCGCGATGCAGCATCATACATAAACCAACCCAATCCACCCCCCAAATAATCACAGACAACGTAGTATGGATGAAACAGGCCACAGCATTTATTATAACATATAATACTTACTGTATAACACATCCATAATTTATTTTAATAATCTCTTTTCTTTTATGTAACCAAAACATTAAACATAAATAACCATAATTTAACATATAACTTAACACATAGTGTTATACAGTGAACCCAACCATCCTTGCCAATAAACTTACCATACGCCTATGTACCACGTCCTCTCTCACCTCCCCCCTCGGCATAAACTCCTTTTCCTTCCAATGCTTACCACCAGCCGACCTTTTCCTCGCTTGGTGGGCACGACAAAGGTTAACCCTTTAGAGCAGGGGAGGTATGTGGTATGCTCACTTCATACCACATACTTAAACGTAACCACCTCAAACTTAATTGGCAAGGACATACCCACGACTAGCTGCGAATAAATATACCAATGGAGCAGGCTGGAGGGAAGCTGTTTGCTGGCCCGAATCCCAAGAGGCACTGAGGTAAGACCACCCCCCCACTAACTCACACAACACATAATCCCACCCACACATTCATACACAACTAATCACATGCATCTATCCCCACACTCATACATGTGCCCTTGTCTGCTAGCTGCGCTATCTTCCCAGGGTCTTAGCAAGAATTCAAACTGTTCTAAAATGGTTTGACTACTTACAATGGGTGGTCGCTTTTAAAGGAACTGATTTAAAAGCCTTATGGTAGTTCATACCTTAAAAATGCATTAAAATTCTTATTTTTAACTGTCCCTTTATGAATGTTATTTCATGGATTTAATCTATAAATTTACTAATATCATTCAGCTAAAGCCTGGCCTTCCAGAGCTTTCAAATGGGGAACTAGAAAACATATACATCCCATGCGAACTCACTACTTTCTCATAACGGACAATTAAAAGGTCACTTGTGATTAACTTCCAAAGTTCGACTTATTAATAGAAAGCAGCAGTCTTTTTTTTATTTTTTATAACATTGTGGGTAAATTGTACATGTATGAATAGTCTGACAGTAATTTCTATTAAATATCAACATGTAATTGACTTTGAGATAGGGACAAAAGGACAGGTTTAAGTCATAGGTCCTTTATCAGTAGAGCAACGATCCATATATTTATTGATTTTTACTAAAAGAGTTAAACTTTTTTTTTACTCACCATGTCTCATTTCTTTGTAAGGCCTACAGCAATACACTACCTGGGAAATTTGTGCTACAAATAGAAAGGAATAATTTTCTTAACATTTATTCCCTAAATACACATCTTTAATTCATTCAAACTATCAACTGAATTACTTTCTATATCTCTTGTTTTTAGGAGACTCTCTTGGTTACCATAACAACCGTGCTTTTATGACTAGAGACCGAGATATGGATGTCAACGGCGCTAACTGCGCCACAAGTTTTAAAGGGGCCTGGTGGTATGGCGGCTGTCACAATTCCAATCTGAATGGACTATATCTGAGGGGCACACATACAAGCTATGCGGATGGTGTTATATGGGAAACTGGCAAAGGAGATTACTATTCTTATAAAATAAGTGAAATGAAGTTCCGTCCTGTTACGGCAGTTTAAAAATGACCTTAGCCATTACCATACTATTAGAGGTCATTAATTATCTTGCTCTTTTTTCATTAAAAGCTTATTGGTTGAAAACCATAATGCCAAAATAGCCAAGTTTAGAAAAAAGTCTAGACATATTGCCTAATCTCTTCAATCCCAACAGATTGTTTTTATTTTTTTAACAATCAAAATTTCTCTGCCAGGACTTTACTCTTCCACTCTACCTCTCTTCATCTCTGCAGAGAGACTGTAAATTATGTCACTTACTTCATTCCTTGCATTTTATAAGAACTTTTTTTCTAAGCCAAACTGCATGGTTATATGATAGTTCACATGGAGGTGAATGAGAGCTATCTTAGACAATCACTGAGGAACTGTAGACTTTAGGGTGGCAAGTCACAGTTTTGTAAATAACCATTTCTGATGTCCTAGGTGTAACGTAAAACATGCAAATTAGTTTGTCAGAATGAATTAGTAAAATTGCTTAAAGGACCACTCTAGGCACCCAGACCACTTCAGCTTAATGAAGTGGTCTGGGTGCCTGGTCCAGCTAGGGTTAACCCATTTTTTTTTATAAACATAGCAGTTTCAGAGAAACTGCTATGTTTATGAATGGGTTAAGCCTTCCCCTATTTCCTCTACCGGTTGTCTCATTGACAGCCGCTAGAGGCGCTTGCGTGCTTCTCACTGTGATTTTCACAGTGAGAGCACGCCAGCGTCCATAGGAAAGCATTGATAGTGCTTTCCTATGCGACCGACTGAATGCGCGCGCAGCTCTTGCCGCGCGTGCGCATTCAGCCCTACGGGGAGGAGAAGAGGAGGATCGGAGGAGGAGAGCTCCCCGCCCAGCGCTGGAAAAAGGTAAGTTTTTTTCCCCCTTTCCCCCTTCCAGAGCCGGGCGGGAGGGGGTCCCTGAGGGTGGGGGTGCCCTCAGGGCACTTTAGTGCCAGGAAAACGAGTATGTTTTCCTGGCACTATAGTGGTCCTTTAAAATCTAATATTAATGGTGCATATAAAAATGTTTGGCATTTTTGAAACTACCCCTAATCCACACAAATACAAAATGTTCTTAATTTCAATGAATGTTAATGTGGAAAAATAGTTTTGGAGTTATGATGTATCTTTGATGTACAAATATTGGGATCAGTGGCACTATCCCCATCAGTCTATTCCTAAATATTAGTTATAGTTCTTCTATTCTGTAATCTACTCAACAATAAATTAAACATGCAAGGCTATTTCAATCTATGCTTTTCCAGTGGCTTTATATGTATATGGTGGAAATGATGGTGTCCCTGTTTTCTTGATGTTGATCTGTCTTCTCAAATGGATTTCCATAAAACACATATATACCCACACTGTCGAGTCACTGTTAGGTATGAAAAATCCAGGACATGCAGCTACTTTTATGAGTTAGTGTAATAACTGATATGAACAGAATAATCCCCAAATCAATTTTGGTAAGCACTAAAGGGTCTTCGTGAGGTAGGTAAATTCAGCAGGAGGTCCAATATTTTCACCAAAATAGTGTAATATTGTATGCGTCAAAGGCAAGGAAATAAAATGATTGGAAATACACTCACAAAAAAAAGAGCACTCACCCCTCACCATGGGTTAAAACTCTGTCGTAGTTTGGTATATTTTTCAAAATTTGTTAAACAAACAAAAAAACGACCCTTTGCCTACTAGCACCAGGACACCTGTCCATCGACGTTTGTAGATAGCTACGCGTCCCCCACTAGATACCCATAAACTATTTGTGAAACCTCATAGACCACAGCTGCCAATATCATAGATTGATACACAGGAATTCCAGGTAGGGATGCTGGTGGATCACCAAATATAAAGCCCACACAATTTCGTAAACTGCCCCTTCCAACAAACTAGAAAACCATACCACTTGTCGCTCATAATCCCCTCCCCTTCTTCCCCATCCTCGTTCTTATTTCTGTACCCCAACCCCCCTCCCCTTCAAACCTTGACTTAGCTACCTGAATTGTTTATGTTGCACCACCTAGGAATTGCTATTATCACGTTACTCTAGGATGTCAAACCAACAACCATTACAAAAACAAAGAGACAACACGGTGTATAATGTTGAATGTATGAAGTGAAATGTACAGTACAATGTCTTTTTTTTTTTTTCCCCACATTACCCTTTTTCTTTTCTGTACCCTACTGTTGAACATACAATAAAAAAATTTAAAAAGAAAATTAAAAAAGCACTCTTGTTTCTGTTTTTACTACATGTGTACTGTGAAAGACGAACATTCATTAAAAATAATATCCTTGAGCGGGAATCATACCGCTTCATGACTGTACTAAGAGCTGAATTATCAGCTCTTCGCTTATGAGTATATCTTATCTTCATTCACAAATATTCTCTGAATGTAAGAGAAAATTGGAATACACTATTGGGTTTCTGGCAAAAGACAAGGTAATGGGGCTGCGCCACAATAAAAAAAAAAAAAAGGAAAAGAAAATATGACAATATATATATATAAGTCCTAGCTTAGGTAAGTTGCTGTATGAGCAGAGTTCAGAAGGTAGGAACTGTGATCTTATGCTGATCTTTGGGCTGCGGGGTTCCGCTTCTTGCAGTGGTCAGGTATATAGAAGATGGCGATAAGAGATGAGAGAGACTGATAGTGTGGTACATTCCAAGAGGTGCCAATATAGAAAAAGGTAGAATTTTTACTCACATTTGCTAGAGCTTAATCCAGTTCTGGTGTGTATAGCTTGCAGTGGTATGATCCCCGCTTACGGGTGTCCTCTTGGTGCAATATCATAGATCCGGGGGGGAGACAGTAAAAATGGAAGCAATAATGGTGCAGTATGTTCCACAGTAAATAAAAGGTAATAAAATATAGATATAACATTCACATTTAGTAGAGCTTATACTAGCTCTAGTTTGGTAGGCATACAGCGGTACAATCCCCAACTCTGGGATATATGATGTTTTACTTTTTTTCTTTTTTGTACACAGCCCCATTACCTTGAGTTTTGCCATCTTTCCAATTATTTTCAAGGACACATGAGGGAATCCTTGCTTGGGATTGCAGACTTTTTCTCTTAGGATTTGTTAGCGCTGCCTCACTTCCCCACTATTTGGTTTCTCTCTATTTTTGTATCTATCTCTCTATTTTTGTTTCCATGTATGATGCATGTAGCAGAGCTCCATGTACCCCGGCTTGGTACCTCCGCCAGAGGGGTTGCTTCCTAGCTGGACCAGCGGAAATGGATGGGGAACTTTTTCTCTTAGTCCTTACAAGGGCTTTCCCTGTTGCATCTCCCTGCAAGCTGGAACAGCAGACAAAGGGGTTAAATCTTGCTTCCCTCCAGTAACAGGACCAAACACAGTTCTGGAGGTTAAAACACTGACAATCTTTATTGGAAACAGGCTTCTTTTATGCACAGACCTCCGCAGGGGATCTTCATTCAATACAACACAATCCCAGTACAATCAACAGTACACATGGACATACATTCAAACTCGTTACTTACGGGGGGGGGGTAAACCTTGGGGCCCAGTGTCCCAAGAAGGGAAGGGGTCACATGGATAAAACCCATATCATTAGATAGTCCCGGGTCCCATCTGGGATCCCTGCAAATAGCGGGGCTATCAGATGTACAGAGCCCAAGATATCAGCGTCTATTGCAGGGGTTCTCAACCCAGTCTTCAAGGACCCCCTACCAGTCCAGGATTTAGGGATTACCTGGGTGTGTCTAAGGTTTTTAGAAAAAGGTGGTTTTTTTTCTTCTATTTCTGAACACCTTAGACACACCCAGGTAATCCCTCAGCTGAAAGGGCCCGAACCAAATCGCCCCAATCAACGCTCGGGGGAGGAGAGGAGTTTCACTGCCCAATGCGAAGAAAGGGCGCAAAACTCATCTTGAACCAATTGGTGCTCGGGGAGGAGAGGGGTTTTGCCACCCAACCCGGAGAAAGAGCACAAAACCACGTTTAAAGAGCGCTCCTTCTATGATTGGTCGCCAGCGCCCTGCAGCGACCAATCAGCACCCAGTGTCCATGCCAACCAATTAGGAAAATGACGAACCTAGTTTCAATGGGCACCCCTCTCCTATTGGTCCACACGGACTTCCATGTGGCCAGTGGGACTCTGCGGCCATGAGACCGACTCACAGCTCCAGAGATTCCCTGCTGGTGCGCGCCCCTCTCTCCAGTGGATATCCCCATGCAGGTATCCACCAGAGAGAGCGTTCTCTTGGGCAGCTACTAGCCTAGTCTCCTGGGCAAAGGGGGGAACCAGTGACTATAACTCCGTTGGGAGCGTGTAGGATGATGCCTGATAAAGGGATCTGAGGCAGTGTGTGCACACCAGTCCAGGATACGAATGCTGCCCCCGGGTGGCATTCGGTTATACAAACTGATGGCCACCCAGGGGAAGCACGTGCCATTTGTTTCCCTTGTGGTCTGCTCATACGAACGTGTTCCGTTCGCCTCCCGAACGGGGATCACCCCGACACCTCATTTAGAATGTATCTTTAGAACGTTCACACCTCATTCTAAATTCGGTGTCGGGGTGGTCCCCGTTCGGAAGGCGAATGGAACACGTTCGTATGCGCTCTCCCGAACGGGGAGCAGGTAAAACATACAAATCCACCACAGTTTACATGGGGAAACATAGTATACAAGGGAATAAACATTGGAAACACAAGATACAAGGCCAACACATATGAATATTCAGTGGGCATGGTACTTAGTAGTGGTGTCCCGCTACAATGCATATACTGATATACTGAGTACCATAGAACATACCTGTTCTCCTGCAAAAGCCTTTATTGACCATCTACCCCATATCCTGTGGCAAGGATTGTATTGTCAGACGCTGATACAAGAGAGCTAATAGCTCCTTTTTTGTGAGTGTATTTTCAATCATTTCATTTCCTTGCCTTTTAAGACCCTTTACTGCTTACCAAAATTGACTTTGGGATTTTTCTGTTTGTATTAATTATTACACTAACTTTGGGATTTGATATTAAGCACTATCACCACTTTATTGTTATCTGGTTCAACATGTGTTTCCTTTTTCCTTCATTTGTACATTTCTCTTGGATTGTTAGGGTCTCCAAGTTTCAGTGTTTTCTTGCCTCTAGAGTCAGCGCTGTATCTACTCCCTCCCTTTCGTTTTCATGAGTAAGCGTTGTACACAGAATGACATGTCTCAACTTCCTGTGTGACCCTTTCATCTGTAGCCTTGTTGTCCTCGACAGTGCTAGGTTTATGACCCTAGTCTATTTTTTTCCCAGAGAGAACAGCACTTCTTGATGATCTTTTTACAATCCTTGTTGTAGCTTGGGAAAGGGAGCATCTTAATCCTCAGTTTTGTGTCCATTACTGCTTTTTTTGTTTTTTGGGGGGTTTTTTTAAGAGCCCTTTCTCCCCCAGGGTAACACTTACATTCCTCATTTGTGTCTCTTGCTCACTTTGTCTTTTGCATATCTTTTCCTCTCTGTGTATCTTGGACTATCAGACCAAGGTAGATGATCTACTTTATCTACATGGTCTGACAGGAAGTTGTTCATTCCCAACCCCTCCAATCACTGCATGTATCTCCCTATCAGACTAGGTAGAGAATAAAATAAATCGTGTACTGTGGTACACAAGGCCACACTACAGAGAGTGCCTGGCAGAAGGGGGAGCTCTTTACAGCCCCCTTGTGCCTGTCACGTGAACAGTATACCTGACCCAGACTGGTGCACCTGAGGGGCTAGGCGCTACCATAAAGTCCCTTGTGCAACCCTATCGCCTAGCTTGTGTATTCCTAATTCGGCATTGCATTCACTGAAATTCCTTTACCCCACATATATACCCTTAACATGAGTAACTGCTAAACAGTGAAATGCACTGTAGAGATAATTGACATAGCTTAATCAAATATAATACCATATAAAGGATTTTTAATATCAAATATGTGGGTCATGTAAATATATTGTAGGGATTTAATCCTGCTCACACCAAAATGCAAGAACGTGCTATGCACTCCTAACAGCATTAGACCCCACTATTTTTAGGATAGCATGGAATGTTAGAACGTTGTCAAAGAGTTAACCTTCTGTACTGAAGAGCGAAACGTCTTTAATTTTTTATTCATATCACTAGATGGCGATAATGCATTAAGATTAGCTACTGTACAGAGAAATTGACACTAGACATCCCTTTGGTCTACATTTCCTGCCCTCTGGAGTTTGATGGGAACTTAAGTTTAAAGTGACATTTTAGGGACTGTAGTTATTTAATCTTGAATCAACCAACAGGGGGCAGATACATTTTATATGTGAATGCATTGCAAATAGGCACCCAGGACTTTCTTATCAAGGTGTCCAGCATTTGTTTTACTTTAAATTCAATCAGACCTCACTACTTATGTATCCTCAAATGCATATGCCCTCTGTGGGTTGATTTGTGTATTGCAATCTGCAATATATTTCATTTCAAGCATAATTTCCTTCTAATTTATCCACAAATGCCCACCGTTGGTTCATTTGTGTATTGCATTCAGCTAAATATACTTGAATACCACTGTGCAGCACATGCAGAAAATGGCCCTGGAGCATTGCAGCAGTATTCAAATGTCTCCATTTTATATTCCGTTATTTGTATTTCTTCCTATCTCTTGAACTCTTCTGTCCTGACTCACCTCAATATTACTTCCTGTCCTCTATTGACATTCCCCACCTTTGAACTGGGCATTTTCAAAGCATTTTTATTATAGTGCATGGAGTCTAAGCATTTTTATTACAGTGCATGGAGTCCCCTGGTGGAGTCACTCCGTTCTGTGGTAAACCATTTTTAAATTATTTAATGCTAAATGAGGGTGTACATCAGGTTGTAGCCTGGCCACTCTGGGCTGCCCAGGTTAAGGAAGAAGCATTAGCGCAAACAGCAGTGCATAGCAGCAATCCGTTACAAGCTCAAAATCCCAGAAAAAGGGAAAAGAATGCGTTTTTGGAACCAGGCCGCAACAGCCCTAACAGACCAGCTCGCATGAGAGTGACCAAGATGGCGACGACACGCTCCCATTACAGAGAGATCAGACGGGGAGCTTACCTGTAACACAAGAGGTATTGCAGAACTGCTTTGATGCCATGTCGGCCAAACTCTTGAGCAACTTCAACAGATCCATCTCAGAGCTCAGGAAGATATGCAAGATCTGGGTGACCGCACAGCCAGGATGGAAACCCGAATGGGCGAGTAAGCAGAGGCCCACATCGACATGGTGAACCATGTGCAAAAACTCAAACAGCAACAAGAACAGTATCAATTGAGGAGGAGGACGTAAAACAGCGTGATTTGGTGGAGTACTTAACAGGCCTCTTCAAAGCTCTGACCTTTTCCACAGACATGCTGCTAATTGATAGAGTGCACAGAGTGGCTAAATCACAATTACTACTGGCGGAAGAACCAAGGGACGTGCTGGCAAGGCTCTACTACTCTCATTTTAAAGAAGCCATCATGCATGCATCCAGATCACAAGAAGGCTTACAAGACCGGCCTATACAACTCTACTTAGACCTGTCGGCTTTAACATTACAGAAACACAGGGAATACAAAGACATAATGGATGCACTCAGAGCGCGAAGACTGTCATACCAATGGGGACACCCGGTACATTTACTCATTCGTAAGAACTGGACAATCACAACCATAACATCGCTGGAGGGGGGCAGGAAAGCTCTGAGAAATTAGGGTATAACTCTGGAGCATCTGACAGAGGAAAACACGTTGCGCCAAGAAGAGTGGAAGAAGCCAAGAAAGTGATCCAAGAACACACCAGCTTAAAAGAAGACAGAGATGACTAAGGGTTTGCTTACACAGTAACAAACAGAGAGTAACATAGGCCTTAGGTAAAACATAGTTATTATTCAGTTATGTTGTGTTAGAGTCAAATTGTCTGACTAGAAAAAAACAACGGTCCTAGACCTATTTGAATTTTGGGTCTGGATTTAGAACTATCGGGGAATGTAGAAAAAGTCTTAATACAAGGAGCCAATATACCTAAAACCTTAATGGCAAATACAGCTACATGAATAAGGCGGAGGGTAATGTTCAAAGATGGTTGAAATGTGTTAAATGCCTATTGATTTGACAAGCAACACTGGTTGAGTATATTTCGGTTGTAGTTGCCCCCACATGAGTCCAAATGCAGGATACCTCCCATACACGTCACCCAAAATACTGTCAGGCAGACCAACAAAGGCTGATTACTAGGGTACAGTACAAGATATTACCTGTCAAGCTTATAATCGGGTCAGGCCAAACCCATGATAGAAGATGTCCAGAATCATACCACGCTCCCACACGGTCCCATAGTATGGTAACCAGGCCCAGACCTGGGAATTAGTAGTTTTGACTACGGGTATGTTTCCCCCTAGTTATCCCCCCGCACCCACAACCCCCCTCACCACGGTAGGCCAATCCACAGACGGATACGAGCTCAGGTTGCAGTATACAAAATGCGCTCATAGAGACCCCTCTGAGTTATCAGCACTTGCACAACAAATAACTCAGAGATAGGGCAGAGCAAAAAGGGAAATATGTAGACAAGACAAGTAGCAATTATACACTACAATCACAATATGAAAGTTTACTTACATAATGTAAAAGGGCTAAATACTCCATATAAGAGACATTGCCTATTTAGGGATTTGAAACGAGACCAAGCAGAGATAGTATGCCTTCAAGAAATGCATCTTAAAACCGCCCCATCCATAAAGCTTGATCTCTACCCACACTAATATCACGCTGTCACAGGGCACAAATCTAAGGGAGTGTCAATCCTGGTTAGCAATAAAGTGGCCTAAACGCATCACGACTCCTATATAGATCCCATGGGCAGATATATAATTCTAGTATGTACTTTAAACAATGTACTATTTACCAGAGTCACCACCTATGCACCAAACAGGGACCAGCGAAACTTCCTACACAATTTACTCGCAAAGGTATCGCCAATCCAGAGGGGAAGAACTACTATTGGCACATATATTGGTCATCACACTGCCCAAACCAACCAACACACTGCCCAAACTTTCACCCAATATCACTTCTGAACACAGATGCCAAGCTATATGCCAAGGTCCATGCACATAGGTTAAACCGAATACTACCTCATCTGATACACAACAATCAGGTGGGATTTGTGGTGGGGAGACAGGGGTCACACAACACACGTAAAGTACTAGATCTGGTGCACAGCGTGAGAAGAATGGGGTGAGGGGCCTTCTGGTGTAACTAGATGCAGAGAAGTCCTTCGACCGACTTAGTTGGACATTTCTCTGGTCTGCGCTCCAAAAATTCAACTTCCTAGACCACTTCATAAGAGTTATCGAAGCCCTATATAGCCATCAATCTGCCAGGGTGGTGAATGCGAGGTTCTGCTTTGACCCCTTCACAATAGCTAACGGGAAGAGACAAGGAAGCCTGCAATCACTTTTACTATATGTTCTAGCCCTTGAGCCACTAGCAGCTAAAATCAGGAGCGAACTACCTATAAAGGGAGCCACGATAGGTACAAATGAATACAAACTAAGCCTATTTGCAGACGACGTCTTCATCACATTAACCGAACCACACATATCTATGCCTAATCTCATGAAACGCAGAGCAGTATGGAAAATACTCATACTACAAACTGAATATAACAAAGAAACAAGCCATGGGTATAAACATACCCATACAGCAAATGTAACTCCTACAAGAGAAGTTCCCTCTGGACTGGCGCACAGACTTTCTGACCTTTTTAGGTCTCAAGATCACAAAAAACCCGGCCACTTTGTTCAAGACCAACTACATGAGCAGCCTCACAAGCTTTAAAGCTACACTGCAAGTATGGGAGGGGAAGTTCATATCATGGGTGGGACACATAGCTGCCTTAAAAATGTTGCTTCTGCCCAAATTACAATATCTATACAGATCCCTACACATTTAAGTACCCCGGAGCTTTCTGGCCACGGTACAAAACATGTTCCTGTGATTTGCGTGGCAGAAAACAAAAATAAGAATAACCTACAAAGGAACATAACTAAGGGGGGCTAGGCTTCCCAGATGTACAAGCTTACTACAATGCAGCAATTCTCAACACCATAGCACAACTCACATCAACGACCAACCCGCCTCAATGGGTCATGATTGAGTCTCATTGGGCATGCCCGAAAGAGCTACACACATGCCTTTGGACACTAGAGAAATGCAAACCTCCCACACTTCATCTAATCCCCACATCCCAGCTGTTGCTGGAGATATGGGACTCAGTTAAGCAAAGCATGACAACATACCACCCAATACCACTAGCGACTCCATTGGAAGTAATGGCTAGAATGAGCCCCATGCTGGACAAACACATATGGTTAGAACATGGCATAAAATACATAGTATAACTATATGATAAAGGGGAGATAATGAAGTTCCCAACATTACAAAGCAGGCACAACCTCCCAAGCCGCATGTTGTTACCTTACCTCCAACTTAAATATTGCTTTGCAAGCACACGACCAACAACTCATAGAATTGAAACACACCGAATGCTCTCTGTATTTGACAAGATATGCACAAACGTTAAACCCCGAAAAAAGGTGATCTCTGTATGCTATCGCCAACTGTTACATAACCACGACAAAGTAAAGGACACATATAAGCTTGTATGGCACAGGGAGATAGCCCGCCATATAGAGAAGTAGCTTAAAGCGTACCCCTCTCACAAAGGAGTTACATCATGCACAAATCCATCTAGAACTACAAAGGAAAATACAATACCGCTGGTACTTCATACCAGATAAAATACACAAAATATGGCCCCAATAATCAACTAACAAGTGCTGGAGGTGTGAGACACAGGTGGGGACAATGCTACACACATGATGGTCGTGCAAATCTTTGCAGCCCTTCTGGCACAAAGTTCACAGACTAAAAGAGCAAGTAACCAATACTAACATAGATCTTAAGGTGGAAACATGTCTCCTATTTATACCACCAGAGGGGATGAATAGAGTTCAATGGGCAGCCACCTATTACATTCTAATCTCAGCAGCTACGGTGATCTCTAGATTGTGGAAAACACCCACTGCACCACACTTTAACAACCTCCTTAATCAAATCAATACTAACTGGAAGTAAGAGACTATGTTCTCGAGCCAAATCGGTGCAAGGAAAACCATAACTAAAGCTAATATGATGTGGAAAGAGTACTGGTCAAACCTAAAAGTGGGCAACAATAGCATTACCCCATAATCCCCTATAACAAGTAATGAACCTGAGGGAAACATCCATAGATGAAGAACTAATCCGTAAGCAGAGAGCCAACCCAACAATATACCACCATACAATCATGAGCACGCGCAAGCAATAGACCGAGGCCAAAGCCTCATACAATAGCACAGATAACTACAGAACATAAGATACCACGAACACCACAAGAGATCCTAAGCAACTACTGTATTAATATAGGCAGGAGGAATTGGTGTTAAAGCATATATGATAATAGACAAAGTGGTTGCAAAATACGCTAAATTATGTTATGCCACAGTATGTATGATGTGCTAAGCTATGTAAAGACCACAATGTATTTGCATGTTATCACATCTGTATAAATAAAATGCAATGCTCTTGTTTTAAATTACATTTAAGTTGTGTAAATTGTTATATGTAAGTCATCTAAAATTTCTCAAAACAGTCCCTTTTTGACCACTTGCAATTCTGAGAAGTATGATGAGCCCAGTTACATTGTCTTTTGTCCAGTGAAATGAAGAGGAGATCGCTCCACACAGACAGCCAGAACTTGCAAAGCCCAGCTCTCCCATATCCATTAATACTTTCAAGTTCTGATATGAGGATTAGACATTTTGATATTAAGGAATACTCCACATGTCTAAAGCACTTGAGCTAGCCGAGGGGTGTAGGATGCAATCTAGGAGGATACATTCCCTGACTACTTCATGCCCCAAGTAGGAGCCACAAAGCTGTAAAGAGGTAAATAAAAACTATTTCATTTTTATGGCACAAAGGGGGCATACAGAGCTCTTTTGCTAGAGACAGAAACAATAATGCATTAGGAGTACAGGTTTGTATTCCTAATGCTTTAGTGTTCCTTTAAAGAGACAAATCCCAGGGGTACAACATAGCCCTCTACCACTTTAATGTGTTCTACTGGCATCAGCTATGAATAAGGTGCTAATCTGGCTAAAATGTGCATTAGAGTGCTTTCAGTTCCCAGAGGGGATATAGGTTAGTTTTGACCTTATAACTATATTAGTGGCATTCTAAGTAATCAGTATGTATATTCCCTGCAAACCAAAGTCTGAATTCTTGCTCCTTCTGATGCTTCTGTATCTTTCACGGGGGATTTAACCCCTAAATTCACTCACAAGAGCCATTCCTCCCTGTAACGGTCCACATTTGCTTTCTGTTTTCATGAATGGTTAACTACTGATTGGCTTAGAGCAGGGGTGCCCAAAAGGTAGCTCCCCAGAGGCGTAACTAGAAACTACCGGGCCCTGGTGCAAAAATTGCCCTGGAGCCCCCCAATGTGTCTCATTCTGCCCCCTAGCTCCTCCATGTGTCTCATTTACTAACTCCACCATCCCCTCCTTGTGTCTCATTCCCTAGCCCCCCAAGTGTCTCTCACCCCTAGCCCCCCCCAGCCCCTCCATGTCTCTCTCTCCCCTTGCCCTCTCTCATGTGTTTCTCTCTCCCATAGCACCCCATGTGTCTCTCTCCCCTAGCCAATCCATATGTCTCTTCCCCTAGCCTCCAGTGTCTCTCTCCCCTAGACCCCCTCAGCCCCAACATATGTCTCCCTCCCCTAGGCCCCAGTGTCTCTCTCCCCTAACCCCCAGCCCCAACATGTGTCTCTCTCCCCTAGCCCCCCCAGCCCCAACATGTGTCTCTCTCCCTTACCCCCCAGCTCCAACATGTGTCTCTCTCCCTTACCCCCCAGCTCCAACATGTGTCTCTCTCCTCTAGCCCCCTCACCCCCATGTGTCTCTCTCTTCCAGCCCTCTCACCTCCACGTGTCTCTCTCCCCTAGCAACCCTCTATGTGTTTTCTCATATAACCCCCCTCCATGTGTCGCTCTCCCCTAGCCCCCCCATTAGAAACATGGAATGTGACGGCAGATAAGAACCATTTGGCCCATTAGTCCAATTACTTCCCTCCCTCCTGTACCTGTTCATGGCTGCTGTGGTACACATCTGACAGGAGGTGCTCTCTCTTACAGCAAAAGCCTGCAGAGACTCACTATACTCACCAACTGTATTAAACTGCAGTTGTTCAGGAGACTATAGTGTCCCTTTAAGTTGATTCAGTATCACACATTGCAGTATTACTTTTAAACACTTCATAGCAAAAGCAAAAGGTAATGCAAGTCTATCTCAGTAAGGTTACCGTATTCAATTCAGTGAGGTTATTTAGAGAGAATTACTGTCAATATATGCATGTTCAATCCATACACACATCGATACTTTTTGGTGCTTCTACTATCAAGGACAAGAACTTGTATCTTGCAGGACCAATAACTAATTTTATTAAAGACACGGAGGCTCATATTATGCATAACTCTTTCTTTATTTCCTCAGCAGCAAAGATAGAGGAATATAAATATTATCAAATTGAAAGCAAAAAACTGTATAAGTACACAGGCAACCAATAGCATAACATAGGAAGTGGCTATATAAGGCCTGTGTCTCCCACAATCCCCCTCTTTCTTTGCTGCTTCCTCAGACAGCTAAGTACCATTATTGAGCTCTCTACTCATTGCATTTTATTGGTATTATTTGTTGTGTATTCTGGTTTTGCTTCATGCTCATTATTATTTTTTATTATTTATTGTTTATTTGCTTGTCTTTTACTCTTGTTGCCTGGATCGTTGGTGTATTTGGGGACCCCCCTGGGGCGTTTTGCCCGCTGCCGCGGGCTCTCTCTCTTCCCCTCCCTCCCGCCCCTATCTCTAACCGAGCGCTTCCCAGCGCTGCCCTCTGCCGCGGCGGTTTCTCTCGGCACCGCGGCTGAGTGTGCTCGTTTTTTCCCTTTCACAGGCTACCCGCGCGGGTAGGTGCGCGCGCGCCCCTTCCCCCGCCGGGGGCCTGTACACGTGTGCACGTTTTTTCTTAGACGGCGGCCATTTTGGGTGATCGCTACGCATCGCTCAGTATCCTGCCGTGCGGTCTGTTCTCTCTGGGTCTCCCTGCTACACCAGCGATCAGGTCCTTTGTGTTGTTGCTGGGTTAATCAACCCACTTATTTAGTTTTCACCTTTATTGTTCAGTGCCGTTTTTCTAGTGTCTCTGCCATTATGCAGGATAGGGAGGATGGGCCTACTGATCCCTCTGGGGATTTTCCTAATGTTAACCCTGAGGGTGCTATGGCATCTCAGGAGTTTCAAGCCTTATTAGAGGCCACTATGGCTTCCTCCCTTCAGAAGGCTATTGCCTCAGCTATGGGGGCTGTCTCCTCCTCCTTTACCCAGTCTCTACAATCTGGGTTTTTGCCTTCCACGGCTACCCCTGCCCCCCTGGGTGTGGGGTCCCCTTCTCCTGCCCATACTGTGCCGGGTGCCCGTAAGGCGAAGGATAAATCTCGTCATATCGGTTCCCACTCCTCGATGCAGGTTTTGCCTGCCATGAATGACTCGCCTCTGGCGGTCACAGATAGCGCGCATCCCACGCGCACAAGAGCCCCTGGCCGGGCTAAAAAGGCTAGATTGTGGAAACGGGCTAGAGCCCTGGATGATGAGTCGGATTCCGACCGGAGTGTGGAAAATGAATCCGATTTTATGGAGTACGACTCCTTTGTTGATGACGAGTCGGGAGAGGACATACCCCCTACGGGGGTTCCCCCTTCTGGGTCCTCTGCCAACCCCCGAGGTAAGGTCACTGGCCCCGCTGGGGACAATAAAGCCCTGCTAGACCCACAGGGTAACCCCATATTTGACCCGGACGACCTCCGTCACCCGCGGTCTGCCGAATGGGTCCCTCCGGACCACATCGCCCAATATGTGGCTAAGCGGATTCGCACGCCCCTATCCAAAGAAGGCCGCAATAAGCTGCGCGCCGAGTGCCCACGGCCTTCTCTCCCTGGCGCTGCCTGCAAGACCCCAGAAATCGACCCACAAATTGCCCAATTTTTAAATAAATCTGGCTGGAAACCTAAGAAGGGTCTTGATCATTCCCTGAAGGGATGCCAGGATAGGATCCTGGATACGCTGGGCCCCCTGTCGAAGCTGTACGAGCTTCTTGATGCCGCTAGATCAGGGGAATCTGTTTTGGATGTGGATGTGGCCATCGGGTGGGTCCAACGGGCTATATGCCTTCTGGGTAACGCCAACACGGCGGTGTCCTCCGAGAGGCGCAAGGCCATTCTACTAAAAATTGACCCTAAATTGGCCGCTATGTCTGTGGCGGAGCCTGATTCGGCTGATGAAGGTCTGTTGTTTGGCACATCCTTCGTGAAGGACATGGGGTCATATGTCAAGACCTTTACGGCTATTGACAAGGCGCAGGCAAATATGAAGCGCGTCTTCGCGCCCAAGGTTTTCGGAGGGGCCGGGCGTAGCAGGAACCGTCCTCCCGGCCGTGGTTTCCGAGGCTCGTTCCGTGCCTCCAGAGGTTCCTTTTTTCCTTCCAGAGGGTTCCAGGACCCGAAAACTCCTTCCTTCTTCCCGGCAAGGGGGAGATCGTGGGGCTCCAGATACCCCCGTGGTGGAACTTCGGGCAGACGCCCTTATGGTGAGTACCCTTTCTTCCCCTCTCGATCAGGTTCGGGTGGCGGGGAGGCTGGCCTTATTCTACCTAAGGTGGGCAGATATAACTGCGGATGCTTGGGTTTTGCAATGCGTAAAGGGTTATCACCTAGAGTTTGTTTCCCTGCCTGTTCAAATTTCTGTTCCCAGGGAGTTGTCTCTCCCACCGGAACAGGACGCGATGATCTCCGCGGAGGTCGAGGAGATGTTTTCAAAGGGTGCCATAGAAGAATTGCCGTTCGCCGCCCCAGGCTTTACGAGCAATCTCTTCTTAGTACCCAAGAAAGGGGGCGGTGTCCGCCCGGTTATAAATCTTCGCCCTCTCAACGCGTTCCTGCGCTACCAACACTTTCAGATGGAGGGCATCCATTGTCTCAGGGATCTGCTGCGGCAGTCAGATTGGATGGCCAAATTGGACCTGAAGGACGCGTACTTCACGGTTCCAATAGCGGTGGAATCCAGGGACTACCTGCATTTCACCTGGCACGGACGGCGTTGGCGTTTTACATGCCTGCCGTTCGGTCTCTCCTCGGCCCCTTGGTGTTTCACCAAGGTGATGAAGCCGGTGGTGGCGTACCTCCGTACCAGAGGGGTTCGCCTCATTATTTACCTGGACGACATTTTAATTATGTCCCAATCGAAAGAATGCCTGGAGTTGCATCTGAGCTGGACTATCAACCTTTTGCAGAATCTAGGTTTTCTAATCAACTGGGACAAGTCGGTCATGACCCCCGCCCAGTCGATGGAGTTTTTGGGGTTTCAGGTGGATTCCATACGGCAATTCCTCTACTTGCCGGAATCAAAGATGAAGGCCATTCAGAAAGAGCTCCGGCGAGCTCTCCGGGCCTCAGATCTCTCGATACGTCAGTTGGCGAGGATCATCGGCCTACTGGCATCCTCCATTCAAGCGATATTCCCTGGCCCGTTGCATTATCGAGCCCTGCAGCGGCTCAAGGGGTCACACCTTCGTTCGGGCCACTCTTACGAATCACGGATTCGTTTGGACGAGGAATCCAGGGAGGAGATAGCCTGGTGGCTAGCCCACATGGAGGCCTGGAATGGAAGGGCAATTTTCGGTTCCCTTCCGGACGTAGTCATAGAATCGGACGCCAGCTTATACGGCTGGGGCGCTCGTTGTGGCAACGCCTCCACGGGAGGCAGATGGTCCGACGCAGAGAAGTCGTTACACATCAATTGCCTGGAGCTCCTGGCAGGAGCCTTTGCAATCCGCAGCCTTACCCCGGGACGGGCAAACTGTTGCGTTCTCCTCAAGCTGGACAACGTATCAGCGGTCCGATACATCAATCACCTGGGTGGCACCAAATCCAAGATGTTGGCTCTTCTGGCGAAAGAGTTTTGGCAATTCTGCCTTTACAACAACGTCTCTGTGACGGCGGAGCATATTCCGGGTCTGGACAATTCGACTGCGGATTGGAATTCCAGACATTTAAGAGACTCGGGAGACCTAGAAGGTCTATGGGGTCGTTTCGAGATGGACCTGTTCGCCTCTCGGCTGAACGCTCAGGTACCGAAATTCTACAGTTGGAGGCCAGATCCGGCGGCAGTGGCGACGGATGCCTTTCTTCAAGAATGGCCCCCGGGTCGCCTCTATGCCTTTCCTCCGTTCAACATGATTGCTCGCACACTCTCCAAAATGGTTCACCACGACTGTTGTCTGGTTCTGATCACTCCCCTGTGGAGATCCCGTCCGTGGTTCCCTCGACTGATGGAGTTGTCGATAGACTTCCCACGGTTGTTGCCGAACTTCCCGGATCTCCTCCTGGATCCGGATGGGAACTCGCACGAACTGGTGATGCGGCACCAGTTGCCCCTGGTGGCTTGGTTCCTTTCAGGGGACGCTGGATTGTCCCTAACGTTCCACAGACAACTCTCTTGCTCCTCGATAACGCGTGGGCCCCGGGCACACGATCAGCTTATCGGGCAGCATGGAAGTCTTGGTCGGGTTGGTGCATGGAACGGGCAATGGATCCCGTATCTGCCCCTCTCCATTTGATCCTGGAATTTCTCACGTTCCTGTTCGATTCGGGCAAGGCGTACAGGACTATCAATCTTTTTCGCTCGGCCATTTCTGCCGGACACGATGGTTTAGAAGGCACACCCGTCGGTAGGCATCCTTTTATATGTCGCCTTCTTAGAGGTATTCGCCTCGCCCGTCCACCCCGGTCGCGTTTTTCGGCCTTTTGGGACGTCAACATTATGTTGCAGTTCCTATCGGCTTGGTACCCTAACCAAGCATTGACTCTCAAACAGCTGTCATCCAAACTGGTTATGCTGCTTTGTCTTATCTCTTGTAAGAGAGTTTCCGATGTCAGGGCCCTGGATTGGGGTGCCATCGTGTTTACTCCTGAGGGTGTTACTTTCAACATCTCTAGGAGGACTAAGTCGGCATCCAAATCCTTCGTGTACCCTAGGTTCTCAGGGTGCCCGGCACTCTGTCCGGTGGATTGTCTTAGGGCTTATCTGGATGCTACAAGAACGTTTCGTTCTTCTGATCGTCATCCCCTATTCATTTCCTTTAAGGCACCTCATCAACCGGTGTCGACTCCGACGCTAGCGCGTTGGATTCGTTGGCTTTTATCCCTAGCGGGTATAGACACTTCTACCTTTATGCCTCACTCCGTGAGGGGTGCCATGGCCTCGAAGGCATCTTTAGTGGGTTGCCGTCTGGAGGACATCATGCGAGCTGCAGACTGGTCTCGTGAGTCCACCTTCCGAGACTTCTATTTCAGACCAATTGAACACATCGCATCTCAGATAGTAGCACAGCTTTGAACTTGCATAATATGAGCCTCCGTGTCTTTAATAAAATTCCTAGATTTTACTAGTATCATGACGTAAAGTCATGATTTTATTAAAGACACGGAGGCGAGTATTATTCCCTCCCACCCTCCCGGTGTGGGGGTTTGCGAGGGAGATGCGCTTTTTTGGATTTTTCCAGGTATGTTACATTTTGGTCCTCTTATTTGTCTTGACTTTCGTTTGAAGTATATAACTGCTTGATGTCAATCATATGTTGTAATTTCAGATTTCGTTTCAGTTTCATGAATGACCAACAGTTCTGACTGGTAAGCAAACAGTTTGGGTTTAGTTATTACCATATTTCTCTCTCTCTTTTAGCTTGAAGTTGTTGAAGCGCTTCCGTTCCTGTTTCTGACCATGTGGGATATCGTTTCGTCTTAGCTGGTCCTCGGTTTTCGCAAGAAAGAGGGGGATTGTGGGAGACACAGGCCTTATATAGCCACTTCCTATGTTATGCTATTGGTTGCCTGTGTACTTATACAGTTTTTTGCTTTCAATTTGATAATATTTATATTCCTCTATCTTTGCTGCTGAGGAAATAAAGAAAGAGTTATGCATAATACTCGCCTCCGTGTCTTTAATAAAATCATGACTTTACGTCATGATACTAGTAAAATCTAGGAATTTTCTTTTACAATAAAATTACTTGTTCCATTATTTCAATTAAAGGAACACTAAGCAGGGCTTACTAAGAGCAATCTACGGCTAGCAGCAAAGTAGCTCAGAGGAGGTGGGGAGGAGTGTTTGACACACTCCAGGTAAGTAGACAAACCTACGGTTCGGTGGTTTTGGTGTCTGCTGCAGTGCTTGGAGTCCTCAGGAAGTGCTAGGAGCATCCTTCAACGGAGGTACCCAGTCGGGGTGCCAGGTGATCCGTTACACAAACCATTCTGAAATAGTTTACTACTGAAAGGAGGGTGGGGGGACCAAAACATTGGTGTTTAGAGGGTTTCTTTAATGCCTAAATACTTCATTAAAATCTATCTACACGTATATGGTATTACACGTATATGGTATTACAGATATAATTTTGTTTTATATATATATACACACACACACAAAATCCTTTTTGTTTTTGTGTTGGTTTGTATCTATAAGCAGATCTTGCAGTGTACAAAGCAGCAGCAATAATCCTTAACTAAATAACTTCGGAATGTTTGTTTAGCACAATCATAAAAACAGTATTTCTGAAATATTGAGGATATTACTAAGAAGTTTGGTGTAGCAAGAAATGTAGTGCTTGGTATATATTAAGGGCATTCACTGCTGTGTCCTGCAGTAAATGGGAGGCTTCCTGAATCCTTAACAAAACAAGCTTGGCATGCTGTGACATCTTGGTCTGTCAGTAACAATTATCTTAATCTTCCGCAGCTTTTCAGAATCAGGAGCCCGGCTTAGCAGCAGGGCATACAAGAATGCTTTCTTTATGCATGGCATGTGCACCGGAGAATTGAAATTAGGGTCTTGCCTTCTGCCAAAAAAAAAAAAGAAGAAAGGGAAATGTTTAGCTCGTCTGCCTGAGGAGCCTGCTGATTCCGCCTTGCCTGATAGCAAACTCAAGCTGTCAAGGTGCCAAATGCCGTGTGCCTGGTCATTCCTTGGAATTTGATGCAGCCCGTGCCTTTCCAGAGCCTGGATGGACAGCCCAAAACGGCAATAAAGCTTCTGCAAAGTGCCAACTCCATACAAGTCAAGAATTTATATCTAAAGGACTGCAGCATTTGTTCAGGGGGGCTAATATATTTCGAATTCCTCATAGCATGGGAGCTGCTCATGGAAAAAAGGTATGAGGTATTTTACACGCCTCTCTTCATAGAAAGGTTTTTAGTTTCACTGCTGTGCTAACACTTTGACAGCGCCTGCAAGTTGTGACCAGATTTCCAAGCAATGTATACTGCTCACTATGCTGGCACTGAACGGGTTAATAGGCCTACACAGATCATAAGCCTTTCGACCACAGTAAAAATAAAAAGTCTACACCCTGATTAATGTTATAGAACTGTTAAAAAGGGCCAATTATTAAGCCGAAGCAGTTCTGGGAAAAAGTTATAAACCTGGGGTATTTGACATTGGTTTCCATGTTGATCACTCCACATATAGCAATTTGCCTCATAAATTCTGACGTTTTGTTGTTTTTTATATGACTACTGTGCAATTCAGGCATTGAAAAACCAAACTATTTTATGAGGGAAATTTACCTTTAGAGCAAGCGGGAATCATACAAATGATGAGGGGCCTTAAACTTCCATCTGTTTTTTTGAATGATGTTAGTTGTAGTCCTAGACTCCTGTAGTTAAAGACATTTCCTACACTCCCTCTATTTTATTCATTAATTTAATATAAGAACAGGTGTGATCGGTAACTTGAGTGACCCTAATATTGGTGAACATTTCCTATTTAAAAAAAAACAAAAAAAACTATCTGTTAATATTTGATAGTATTGTTTTATATTATAGATGGGAAATGCAAGATGAGAGCTATAGTTTTGCAGTGAATACAATGGTTTTGATGACTTAGAGATGTAAGGGTTTATTGTCTAAACAGTCAGTGGTGATGAGTTGACAACTGAGTTGCAACATTAAGGCGAAATAGGTACATTTGGAATAATAGTAACTTTTTGGCCAAAACATGTGGTCTGTCCGATATATGCCCCTAAATATTTCACCCAAGAACTGACGATTAAGTAAATAAATGTGTTAATTGTTATGGCCATGCTCACGTCACCTGTTATTTGATCAAAACCTGTTTGTGGCATGATTTGTTCAGGTACCAAAAATCTTTGTGTATCAAAACAGGTTTTTTGCTAATTTTTTGTTCTTCTAATTAAGGGAAGTGTTGGAGACCATCTTTTTTCAATATAGGCTATATTTTCCAATTTATCGATCTGTCCATCACTATTTGTAACAGAAAAGTGTTCTGTTTAACATCTCTTTTCTGCTGCTCCAAATTTACCAGTTTTATCAAATGGAAATTTGATATGGGCTGCGGGAGGCCATTTATACTGTGGGGGTCAGTTTCCAATTAGCATGAACTATATAGCTTGAGGGAGCATTCAAAGAAATCTCAGCCTACACAAATCATCTACAGTGCAAACCTCCAAACATTGGGATAAGTGGGCAAGCCGCAAGGTAGTGTCACCATGTGACTAAACCTATGTCACTGGCAACACCTTTAATAAGTGAGTCTGCCTACTGAAGGGGTGTGCCAGGCTGACAGCCTCCCAGCTGGCCACCATCATAGAGAACCATGCATAGAGTGCTGCTGAATCACGCTCTACATGGTCCTATTGCAGAGGTAGGCAACCTTGGTCACTCCAGATGATGTGGACCACATCTCCCATGATGCTGTCATAGTGTTAGGGCTGTAAGCGCATTATGGGAGAGGTCTTCAACATATGGAGTGCTGAAAGTTGCCTACCACTGTCTTAGTGCCTGCTTCACAGTGCAAGCGCATTTGTCGTGAATTTGGAATTGCCAAAAGCAGGACAGTTGGGAGCCCTAACTAAATTAAAATAGTATTACTTTTAAAAGGATAGCATTGCTTATCTAAGAAGTGATTTCATATTTATAATTAATATAAAATGGCTTTGATTATGAGTAAATTGTATCTTTAAGTCAATTGCTTTTTTTCTAAGGGACTCTCCAGGCTGTAGTTGATCCTATTTATAATAAAGCAGGCAATAAAATTAAATGAATATTTGAATGTGTTTTGTTTGCATATCTGCAGTTTCTCTAAAAAGACCACATGTCAACCAGTGAGACCAGTGAGACAAGTAAATGTGTCAAGTGGGTTTATTCTTGATTTTATTTCTAGATTATTATTAAATTAGAGTATGTACAGGGGTGCTTTTCCAGGACAAAAAAAAATAATATATAAAAAATAATATATATATAAAATATCCAATGCTTGCACTCCAGTATAAGCAATAAAATTAGCTCAGTGCTTGTCAGCAAAATTACAACAAACTATAGACAGATAGCATTCCAAGGACTTGTTGGTAAAATGAAAAAAGTAACAACTTAGCTTTTATTCAGCAGTATGCCATAGTGAAACAACGTTTCAGTTCCCAGTCGGAACTATCGTCAAGATAAGGTGCAGGTTTCATAACCAGTGAATATATAACAAACATAATCATAGAAAAACATTGCACACATGTGTAACTTACCCTTTGCCCCCAGTGATTGCCGTAGCTGATCGCTAATTTCGGCGGGTAGAATTCACCCGGTACTGGATAGTATTGCAGCTGTCCACAGTGATGCCGCAATCTGAGTGCGTTCCAGCGATTCACTTTAAGATAGCTGGAACGCAAGGGGGCGTATTTGTATATGGGTTATCATAGTAACCCGGTTTAGGACATTAGTCTGCGATCGTTCACGGGTGCAAAGGGTTTGAAAGATATTGGAAAAGGGTGGCATTCAATGCAATCATAACAATATAAAAATAGAACCTAAAGACAAGCGGAGACAGAAGCAAATATACGCTAGATATTATATTCATATATGTCTGTGTGAACTTGGTCTTGGACACACTGATCCAGAGAAAATATGTGTCATGCTATGTATATAATGAACGACTCTTGCTTATTGAACAGCTATTGATAGTCTCAATAGCTATGTCAGGAGAAAGTTGTCAAGCATATATAAATTATAGTATCCACACATGTAGAAACAATGTAAACGATCCTTATTTCAACTAGTACATAGTATGAGACCTATAGGATGGCAATCTGCCATTCTTGTAGTAATGGGGGGTAAAAAATCTCTAAGGCTAGCGTAGTCACTCTGCTCAAACCTATTAAATCCCCAAGTATTTAGAGATACTAGTAAGGCAGGGAAACTGGAAAGAAATATATCTATATTTGTGTCCCTATAGAGGGCTCAGGTGTAAGAGGACTATCACAATGAATGTTTTGCTATATATACCTAAATCCTGCCAGTATAAGGTATTGTAACATATACGTAATGTAGAAAACAGACAGAAAAGGCTGGTCTGAGAATATAGTCAACAGACCCTGGAAGGATGTGTCTAAATCAATCATACTAGTTGCACTCTGGAGCTGTAAGCATGCATTGGTGTGAAAAGGAAATATTAGAAAATAAGTAAAACACCTATAAAAAAAAAGAGTGTTCATGAATATGCAAGGTGTATATTCTAATAATCATTTACTGTGAATATGGAATAGATTCCTGTCGTAGATGTTGTGACGAAGTGCCCTTCGCCACTTGTGCCTGGAGAGGACTGCTTGCCCGCCTCTTGCCCTGTTACTATGGCCCCTGGGATGTATTGCCCTTTAAAGACATGATTTGGGCATAATGGATTTGTGTTGTGCTGCTGCTGGCCCTTTAAGAACCATCTGGGGACATACTGTGGAGTTACTGGGTGGCCACCATTTCCTGTATCAGAAGCACATGGTGAGAACAATGGATGGCGGCCATTTTAACTCACAGACACTGTTTGGACTTTTCAACACGGTGCCATCTCGCCAGTATTTGGTGCACAGAGACATCGTGCAGTGGTTTTGGACTATACAGCAGGGGACACATTATAAAGTGATTGTTTTTCATTTAGCCTGTATATGTTCTGCAGAATCTGCATTAAACTGTATTTTCCAAAGTACTGAGCGGATCTGGGTGAATTTTGGATATGTGGTTCACCCAGATCCCCCGGTTCCAAGGATATACTTTTATGGGTTTATTGCATGTTTTGGGGTCCCTGTGTGTTTTATGAAACTGTATTATTTCTGGCCAGCAGATAATTGAGCTTTGTGTATTGTAGAAACTCAATTATCTAGCCTGGCCCAGAGGAGGAGTTTTGTGTTGCATAAATTGTGAGTTCTGTGTGCCAGTAAATCAGTCTTGTTCCAGCATTAAGCCTTGGCTCATGTTTGGGGGAAGGGATACCTACACTCTGGGGATTGCTATAATCACTTACTCCCCAGAGGAAGCTCTTGCAATAGCTTGATTTGTTCCTGTTCCTGCTCTCTGGGGAAAGAGAGGTTCACCCACTGGAAGCTGGATCCTGGCCTTGGGTCCAGGGTGGGTGGAAACAGCAGAGACCCCGGCGCAGTTGCATCGCTGGAAGTGGGGTCTGCAGTGCTGATGGTGTCGGTTGGAGTGCTTGGAGTCCTCAGCGAGCACTAGGAGCATCGATTGGCGGAGGTACTCAGTCGGAGTGCCAGCGTTCCGTCACAGATGTATATACATAAAAAGAAAAAATCTCAGGCACTCACTGTGATTGTATCGTTTCGACCTGTCAAGGTCTTTATCAAGCAAATAAACGTTGCAAATAAACCTGCCTGGATACAACCACAGTGAGTGCCTGAGATTTTTTCTTTTTATGTATATTTCTTCTGTTTTTTTTTGCTGACCTATGCTCAGTAGCAACCTGGATAGTTATATTGCGGCTGAGTGTGACCCTATCTTTTTTTCATTGCGTAGATGTATATGCACACATTATTATGTACAAGTATAAAGATCAGTATGCCCGTGCCTGGAATATGGTATAGATTCCGGCCGTGGATTGAAGTCATAAAAAAATGCCCAAAGAATATTATTTATTAAGTCCTTTTGGGTGTACTGTATTTAATGTTCAAATCCAAAAGAGCTCTCTTTGTAGCAAAAGTTTATTTCGGTCCCCCCCTCTCACCAACGGAGGGATGTGGTCTATTGCCAAGAACTTCATGCTGGGCAATGGATGGTTAGACTCTAGAAAATGTTTGGCCACAGGGAGTTCAGATGTTTGGTCTCTATATGCAGTTCTTATGTTGACTGATGATTACACATTCTCTCCC